AACCCTTTTTGTAACATCTGAAGAGGGGTTCCATCTCTTTTCTCCCCCATCCAGTTACCTCTTCCACCTCATCTCAGCCCCATCCAGTTGGTTTCTCTCTTCCTCTTTCCTTCCCAGCGCAGGCACCCAGATTCCTTCCCCTTTTCATATCTCTGCCAAGGCTCTGCTTGCTTCCAAAAAGATGTGGAAGAACCTCAGAAGGATGAACTCAGCATTAAATGAGCTAATCATTAAAGCAACTTAGCTTTTTCAGGTTTCTGTCTCAGCCTGAAAGAAAAGGTGTTGCTGCTTTCTGAGTTGAATTAACCTTAATGCCTGGATTCCCTAAAATCCAAAGCAATTCATTAAAATCAAGTCCAGTTCATTTTCAAAGGGTGAAACCACCTTAGTTTCCATACTGTTTTCTTTTCTGCTCTTTCTACTGGAAAGAGGAAGGGAAATCTGGGTGCTTCTGTGTCTGAATGTGAAAATGGCGTATCTATGTATAAGCAGATAGGGAACAATTGATTTTAAAAATTAATTTTATAAACAGGTTTATTTTATAAGCAGCGAATTTTAATCAGGAGGTTTTGGGTTTTTTTTTTTTTTGTCCTGGTTCTGCCCCCTGCTTTATTTTTGAGAATGTGGGTTCTGGAAAATGTTCATCTATGACATCTGGTTGTGTCATCAGACCTGGGGGTCTTTGGGAACCAGAGATATTCTTACATGGCTCCACTGTAATTGATATTCTGCTCTCTGTGGGGTTTGTATATTTTAAAATATAATTTTTTAAAAAAGTGTGATATTGTTTTTATTTTAATAATAACTTTTTATCTTTTTATAATGCCTGTTTTTATTCAGTTATTATTTTGATTGTTGTACGCTGCCCAGAGTCGCTTTGTGTGAGATGGGCAGCTATATAAATGTGATAAATACATACATACATACATACATACATACATACATATATACATACACATTGCACAGGATTTTTGTATATTTATAATTTTCTGCCTAATCATCCTTTTTTAGGAGGTGTCATCTGATATTCAGGATTGAGTTTCTTTCAGCTAAATATGGTAGCGATCATTGCTGAAGCCATTTGCAAAGGCAAAAGTTGTCTATTCCCAGCCTGTCAACAGAAACAGTCTAATCTGATTCTTGAAGATTTGTTCCTAAGGTTGCCTGTGCAACTACAGCTTTCATCTCGCCCACATTAGTACTTCATATTTTACACTGATAATACTATGCTCAAACTGATGTAACATATCAGCCTGAATTTTAACCTCTGCCTTATGTGACAGGTAGTAGATAGACAGACAAAATCTAGTAATTTAGACCACTAATCAATATATTTAATCCATGCTTAATGTCACAAATTAAGACTATAAATCTCCAGGCTGTTTTACAATACATTGGTTTGGAATAAGGACTCTGCTAAACTTGTACTTCACATCTATCGGATTATAAAGACAAGTATATCATCAGCTCTGCTGGCTGACAGCTAAATTAAACCCTTACGGTTATAGTTGCTAAGCTGTAAAATCAAGTGCATTTATGTTACAGCTTCCAAAATCTGAGTATCTTCACCTCTGATGTATGTTCTGTACTTTGTTTTTAACAGGAAAATGCATTTAGTTTTCAAAATGCATCATAGATGCCCAGTCCAACGAAACTCTCAATCAGCTTAACAAGAACAGCTAGTTAAGAACACCAAACAGCCCTACCAACACTATTGGCTAATAAAAGCCAGGCTTGTTTATGACTAAATGAGCCTTCAGACAATCCAGGTCCAATTCACTCTCAGGACAGACTCATTTGAGGCCCAGTTGAAATCCACAGCCACCAGAGTAGATGTCTGGGTGATTTACTGACTATTTTGCAGTTGGCATTAGCAAAAAAATTGCTGCTGGCACATGCAGTGCCATTCAAGTTATTCAGCACACCAGCTTGAGACAAGTACATCAAATCAGTCTACAGTTACTATTAATGCATTCTTAGCTATTTTCCATTAAATGCAGATACGAAACACAGGAGGCAACAGTTCTAAGGAAAACTAATCACATTAATGGATGTAGAGTTTAGAAAATGTAAGATCAGCCATTTTTATTACAGCACTGAGTCTGTTCTTCATTTTAAAAAGAGACCCTAGTTAACTAACTTAGCCTGGTTAGTTCCCCAAAAAATGTATTTTCAAAACATATTGCTGTTCCCCTACTAAAATGTGGAGATCTAATGGTATGTGGGAAAGACCTGGGAGACTGGGCCAAGAGATGCTGCCTAGGGAACAGTCAGATAAGATTCAGCATAGCCAGCAGCTGGATAGTGGGAGGGGCAAGAGGCTCAGAAGGGACCCTCCCTAGTTCCTTGGGCTGTAAAGGAGATGGCAGGAGAATTGTACTTTCAGACTTGTAAGATTCTGTTAATGTAGCTTTACAATAAAGTAGAATTAGCTTATCTGGTCATGTTTCCTGTCTGATCTACCTAGGAAGGCTGACGGGAAATGCCTCATGGTTGAATGATAACTTGCTTGTGCCAGCACAGGCTACAAGAAAATCTTATGTGTATGTCTATTCTTGTCAGACAGTGATATATTTATTTACAATATATGATATAAACATCAAACCATGTAAAAATGTGCCTGATACCATCTTACTGAAGAGATTAGTTAACAGGCAAAGACATGGAAGCATCCCAAAGAGATCAAAGTAAAATAGGGAAGTGCCTCAACTATGCTGCTTAAGCTCCTTAGAAAAAAGGCAGAATATAAATGAATAAATAATGTAATTAACTGTGCATCTCACATACCTAGAAAAGTTCCATTACTATGTTTGTGATGAACGGCAAAGGTGGCAACACAGCACACATTCACAAATATTCATTCAGAAGCACCAAATAATAGATAATTATGTCTTCAAATGGCTCAGTGTTAGATACAGTAATTTGTTAAAGAGCAGCTTTTAGGGTAGAGGAAGTTAAGCAAAATTCTCCCAATCTAAGGTGGGGCCAGCACATTTCATAAAAATCAGAAGTGCAATATGGAATAAGCAATATGTAGTTAGCTGCAAATTATTCAGACCACTGAAAGCCCAAACAGTGCAAAGAATTCTGAAAAGATTTCTTTAAACTGTTTAAACTGACAACAAATGGCAAATGAGACTCAGAGTTAGTGCAGCAAAAAATCCTAACTTGAAATATCCAACATGGAGCATGAACTCAGCTAGCTAGAAGATGTCTCTGTCCTGTGGAGGAAACAGCTGTGTGGTATAACAGGAAAGGACAAATGAGGAATTTCAGTCCCAATTAGGGTCGTTAAGCAAGGACTACCTGTACTATGGAAGCCTCACAGAGACATGAGGTACAGAAAACCTGGTTAATATTAATCCACTAAAATCTGGAGAACCCAGCCAAAAGGTACAGAATAGAGGACAAATTCTACACTGGGAATTAATTATCAAAAGTTATGATGATATTATTTTCAATATAGCTTTGTGGTATGATTTCATCTGGAATTCTCTGTATCAGATGGATTATCCCATCTCAAAAAGAATGTAGCAGTGATTTTTTTTTTTTAAGTTGCAAACAAAATCATTAAGAGACTGGAGTATCTTTCTTATTAGGGAAGCCTTTGGGACTGTTGGCTGGGAATTCAGGGAACTACAGTTCCAGTATATCTGAAGGATATCAGATTTGTGGGGCTGTAACAGAGTTTTGTAAGCTCATGGAATATGAATGGAAAATGAAGAACGTATGTCCAAGTTGAATCCTAGTATAATTTGGTCTGCCGTTTGAGAAGGAAAACACTTTTTAAATTTAAAGTGAGAGATATTTAAAGTGCTTTCACCCAATCAAGGATATGTGCTTCTTAATTGTCACAATATCATTATATTTTTCTTATATTGTCTGACCACCAATGTAGGATTAAGTCTGGAAAATGTTCACCTCAGTAGGTTTTTCAAAACAGAAATGTATTATAAAAATGGATTCAATAAGTAGTAATTGTTCAAGCATGTACTAACTTGAAATATATTACCTATTGCATAATAGAAAGTTATCTAAACAGTCATGGCTCAATGATATGGCAGCACTTAAATCCCTTAGATTCAGCTTGCAAATTATATGCAATTATCTTTGTGTGCCCTTTGAAATATAACATTAATAGTTTTCATTTTCCTGATCAGAATTTGGCAGGGCCTTAGTGTTGAACATTTCTGGGCTTATCAAGACAACTAATTGAGAACATACATGTCATAAAAGAAGGGATAAGGGACACATTTTTATTGGGTGGAATAATTCTGAATAATTGAACTGAAATGGAACAAGAGCTTTTTGTCCTCAACATTCCTCAGAATCAAGACATGAAGTCAAAATTAATCTGTAGGCATTATGTATCCAGGATTTTTTTCCTTTACTCATAGCAACAAACATAGGTACTATATGGTTTGGACTCTACCAAACTGTCAGAAAACAAATATTGGCAAAAAGGCAATGTTGTTACCATCTGAGGACATAACTTTCCAGTATAAGTATCCATAGTGTTTAGGACATTGAAAGCAGCCACAGCTTTGAGCCAATAATAACTGGCTTTCCTTTGCTCCTTAATGCTTATTTACATGAGCCATTACACTGAAAATATAATTGTGTCATTGTCACCTACATATCTCATGCCTATTGTGTAACCTGTTGCATCATATGCTATTTACGCTGTGGGCTCTTCAGAAAAAAATAGTTATCTACTGGATGTTTTATACCCAGAAATCTTAGACTAAGCTCTACTGGAATTTTTATTAATTTTTGTAAGATATTATTGAAAATTATGAATTACTTAAGTAGCTGGGATAGTTATTTGAAAGCAAATTTAAAAGCCACTAAAACTTTACTTCTGTTTTGTCTAAAAAAATCCTCTATATGAATCAATGGTTTATTGCTTCAAGGGTTGGAAATATTAGGAAAAAACCTCACAGTACTGTAGCATGAAACATTGAGACTGTTAGCATTATAAAATATTTATTGTCTAACCTTCTTGTCGTGGTTGTTGTTAGATCAATATTGAACAGTAAGATTCAGATGTACACAATATGTATATAACATGTCATTTGTAATACTGTTATAAAATGAAAACTTAATTTCTGATCATCAGGAGATGCAAGATCTCCCCCCCCTCAAATCCCATATTTTGTAACAGAAGAAATAAGAGAGGTAAAAATAAAACCAACATAATTTGTGCAGCTCCAAAAATCTCTTCTATATCAATTTGGCTAGCTGTACCCAACTGTAAATTTACCCTGGAAAATAATATTTGAGTTTCTGCCTAAATGCCTAAGGTATGGCACGGAATCAGGAAGCCCATTTGCAGTAGCTGAAACAATCACTTGACTTAGCAGAGAAGACATTACTCTATCCTTCTTTCTGCCCAAAGCAGGTGGGTAGTGGAGGAACAGATTTTTGATTGGGCGATGGCACAAAAATTGACCAACCTCCTGAAGGTCCCACAATGGTTAAAGCTGCTATTTAACACCCAAATGTGTGCTTAATGTTCTTGTCCTATCACATCATATTATGGCATAAATCTCAGCTGTCATGAATACTTTAGTAATTTAAAGCATGTTGTTTTCTCACAACAGAAGCTCCTCTTTGTTATGATTCTCTCTTTAGTAATATTGTAAGGCTGAAAGATATAATGTCTATAGACAACCTTACAAAAAATACCAATCTTTTCAAGTCTGTATTCTTCTTAAGCATTTTATTTGCTTTACCCACATCTTTAAATGAAATGAACTGAAGTTACTTTCAGCGATAACTATTGATAGTTCACTGTCTTAAAAGTTCAGTTATATCTTTACCCCATAACAGTTACTCTTTACACGATCCAAATGACTACAGTAGAAAAATATATAATGAAAATTTATATATACAAAAGAAACCTGTATATGTAATGACCTCCTGATCAGAGTGTTACCCAACTAATAGCAATTTCTTCTAAGATATTTCAGTCCTAAGAAGCTCAAGCAGTTCATACTCAACCTAGTTTCCTTTTTTTTTTTTTGGTGAGAATAACCATTTGATGACTCTTTGACACCACTGAACCCAGTCCTTTACTGTATCTCTGAGGATAAGGATTTCCCAACTTTTACTTTTTTTAACAAGAATATTTTGTATTTCTACATGTTCCCATGTTCAACCAAGTATTCTAATGCCTCCTTTTCCTACGTCCCCTAATGGAATAATTAGGAAGTAGTAGTATCTTAGCATTTGCCTGTAACATATTGTGTTCTTTATAGCATCATCTAAAGTACTTTTACTTAATTTCAAGTATAATCTTCATTACTTTTAAAAAGTTCCTTCCAGTGAGTTTTTACCCCAAATAATTAAGCTTTTCCTTGAGCCCAAGTGTTTTATTTGCTTGCAGTAAAGGTTTTCACCTTGGATTTTGTGAAGAAATTTAGAAATGACCCTCTTTGATTTTAATTTCAACTGTTTATTTTGCCCTCAATAAATTAAGTTTGTAAATTGTGGTCCATCGTAAATATGAAGCAGCTTTTATAAAACAGAATTTACATTATCTGAAATACTTCTATTATAACTTGCACGTGTGCCATTGTCTATTCTTCACTGGTGTTTCTAAAGAGCTGTTAAAACTTCCTGCGATGCAGATACACTTGTCACTATTCCGCGAACGTATAATTCTCCTGTAATGTTTAGTCTCATCAAATCCTCAGGATTCATTTTGTAAAGCTGCTGTTGAATAGCTGATGCTCTCAACCCCAAAGTTGATTTAAGATATGTGCACAAAATCTGATGACATTATAACGTGGAAGATTTATAAAAACAGAAAATATCCTTGCCTCCATCTTTAATCAGTCTTTATATAGAGATTTCATATAGATATATAGATATGTATGTGTACATATGTAAATGATTTATTTCCCCAGCCCCAAACAAAGTACAAGAAATATTTGTGCAGATTAAGGGTCTTCATCCATCAATGGAATTTCTAGAAAATAAAAGAAAGAATTAATGGGCTTTAATTGTGAACTGTCATATGGAATGTCCTGCAATTTTATTGTGCTATAACATGTCAGTAATAGGCCTGCCAGTTCTTAAGATATTCAGTTATGCAGGGATTCAGGCAATCTTTGTATTTATTTGCTGCACAATTACTTGCATAATCAGAGTCAGTGACTTCACAGAATCAGTTTAATTAGTTCAAAGCACTTTATAAATGGCTATGCAATGAAGCAGTCTTCTGGCTAATATGTCTTATGGTAGATGAATTTTCAGTGTGAAAATTCTCATTTAGCTTGAAATTTGGTATACAGGTAGTCCTCATTTAGCGACCACAACTCAGCTGTTAAGCAAAGAAGTCGCTAAGTAAAACTGCGACTGTGCTTATGATATTAGTTTAGCTTTCCTTTGCTTTTCAAACCTGAAAAGGTCATAAATGTGAGGATTGGTCGTAAAGTTACTTTTTCATCACAGTCATAACTACAAACGGTCACTAAGCAAGGCAGTCACGAAAAGTGGACTACCTATATATTCAAGACTAACTTGGAGTCATTTGACTCATCATGGCACTATACTATCTACTTAATTTTGTTGCATTCTGTTTTGTTTCAGAGCATAAGAGATTTCAAGATTAAAATATGTTAGGGCTTTTAGAGTATCTCTGTTAACTGGTTTTAGGAATATACAAATGCTACAATTTCAGGAATGGAATATTGTGCACTATTCTATTCATACTGTTTCAACTGGAATATTATGAATGATTAACTCCAGATTTGGAAGATTAGCTTCCCAAAACCTCCAGACCACTCCTGGAAAAGTTTGGTTTGGAGGAAGAAGAAAACATCCTGGAGTTCTCCAGAACACTTGGTTCCTGGAAATATAGGTTTTGCACAAATACACTGTTCTCACTTATAATAAATAACTTACTTTAATTTTCTACTTTCCTTTATATTGTAGAAGATGCTGACAGACTCCAGCACAAATTATATTCAGCATATTAGCCCACTGAAATGCACAAACTGGTATTATGAAAACCCACACTCAGCAAAATAGCATGATTTTTTTTTTATAGGATCTTGAAATATTTATTGAAGTTGAATAAGTTGAATTTTATTGTGATTTCATGCATTTTTATCTTTCATCATTTGGGTGTAACTAGGATGATCAACATGACTTCTTTTTTCACCCCTACCCCACTTCAAACAAATTTAAAAGGATAGTGGCAAGCTGTAAAGCCAAGTACCAGAATCTCTTTAGCCACCTAAATCCTTTAGATATCCTCAGGGGGAGAAATGTTAGGTGGATGCAGCCCTCTGCTTTCCCTGTAAATTTGCCCATCTATCCCCAAAATGACCTTAATATCTTAGGAGGGTAAAAAGCTCACCCACTATACCTCCTGTAGCATCCATTTTTTATGAAAGCACAGCCCTCTCCCAGCAAATACTTTATCTGAGCATTTACCAAGAATCTGACAAGTGTTAAAGTTTGAAACATTCTGAATTCATACGGGTTTTAAATCCCTTTCTTCTGAAATTCTAACCTGAGCTGGGGCAAAATTGGACATTCCATTTTGTTTTGAGTGTTCCAACATCCCTTGATGGGATTTAAAAACAATCCTCCAAGGAATGGAGTCTTAGAGACAGCGTTGGCCAATAAAAAGGCAGGTATAGGTTCCATCTCATCATGGAAAAAGTCTATCTATGTGGTCGCTAAGAGTCAACAGTGACTTGATGGCATGCAATTAATCACCAATCAATCAATCGATTCCATTCCTGCTGGCATTGGCTGGAAGTAACTGAGGGAGGGACACAGCAGGGAGACTAAACATGTCTGTTAAACTCATGCTCACTGAGAGTCCTTTGTGCACATAAAAAATAGACTGCTGTCTTCCAGAAAGTTAAAGTTAGCATTGTTTTAAATTCCTTGTTGTATGGAAATTAGAGATTATGGACTGTCACACAATATGACTGGCAACCTGGTTCAAAAAGAAAGCCCAGCATAACAGTGACAAACACAAAATATACGTTAAGGCTAAGTATTCCTATGCTATTTGGCTTTCCAAAACCAATACTGCATTATCAGTTTCTTGAGTTTTCAAGATCTCAGACATACAAAATAATGTTACTTTTTAAATTCTGTCAAAATGTAGCTTTTTTATTCTGGGCTTGGAATTTTTCAAAAATTTTGTGCACATCTATAGTACTCACAGTATACCCTCAAAATTTCAACTATGCACCTGACCAAAAAAGATTGGGGATCTTGGTATATGGGCTCATGAGATAGGACATGCCTGGCTATCTTCATATTCTACACCTAGACAACTATTCAAGTTCCTTGCATGATTTACTGATTCCATGAATAAATAACTGTCTGAGAAAACTAGCTAAACAGATCCTCCAACAAATATTCAGCAAGCCTGTCATGACAAAAACATTAACAATGATAAATTTGGTTGATGCATAGTATTGATGATGGGCAATAATACGTGCTTCACTTGTCCTGATTTTTTGAGATGAATCAGAACTGCACCTTGTATTATAATAGACAGAAATCAATATTAATAAAAAAATACTTTGAGAACACAATCAGACTTGGAAAGTAAGGATCTTAACTGGCATAATTAACTGGTGTTCTCCAATTAATGTGTGATAAAACACACCCACCCACCAATTCTTTTCCTGCCAATAAAGGACAGATATATGCCTGTTAGGAGGGCAGTGAAAATTTGGCTTGTAAAGAAGCTCTTCTGGAAAAAAAAAAAGGGGGGGGAGAAAGAGATAAACAGAAGCTAGAACAAAGAGACAAGCCACGGATTTAAGGCTAGATTTCTTCTCCCAAGCACAATCTCATAGCTTTTCCCATATGGAAAACACTGACGCTAAAATAATCCCACATAAGGTTCAACATTCAATATTACCATCAGCAATATCAATGCTTGGGCTGGTTGATGCTACTTCCTCAGTGGTGCTGTTGATAACATCAGTTCTCTCTGAGACAGGATGAGCTCCCATCTGACATGCAGAAGATGTGTATAAACTCTGAAGAAGTTCAGAAGAACCTGAAATGCTGTCACAGGTGTCAAATTCAGCTGGCAACCTATTCAAATCATCTGGTCCAGGATAAGCTGGAGGATTCTGATCATCTGCTTGAAAAATATATCCCTGGCCTGCAGGGGGCGCACATCCTGGTGCCAACTCATTCATGCCACTACTCACAGCTTCATCATAAGAAGGAAGCATGACAGGAACACCATCCACCACCACAAAGTCTGGCCCATTGCTGCAATTCTCTTGAGTATCTCTACATTGGGAGAAAAAAGAGTGTATGTGTGTAAATACGATGTTGGGAATGGCTAAACATTCTTTGCCAGAAATAGATTTCTCTAAGAACAAAGTTCTCAGTAATTTGAAATGGAGTTAGTGCATCTCTAAATACTTACTTCAAAGATATCCAAAAACCTTCTGAGAATGAGAGTCATGTAACCCGTTGTTACAAATAAAAAAATAACTCCACTAAACTAAGGAATGATTGATAAACCCATCAGTATTCCCCATTAAATATCTCCCTATATCTCAACTTATATCAAAATATTTAGATTCATGAGCATAAAAAAATTAGAATGGGAAATCCTAGGGAGAACAGTGATGGCATCTAAATTATTTTAATTATGTGTTTGCATTGGTCATTGTCTCTAACTGATTAAGCACCAAAGTTAAGCTGTAAAGTAATCCTTCTGAACCTGGAACCCTCTGGAGATATTGGACTTCAACTCCCAGAATGCATGAGTAATTTTAAAGCTAGCATCTGGACAACTTTCCCATCAACTTGGGAAAGCTGCTTTCAAACTTTTATCTACATTTAGTGTGAAATTATGGGTCAAAGTGTGTACCATTATCATGACTATTTGTATATTTCCCTTCATCATAACCCAGCATGATGCAAAATAAAAATAAAGAAGTAACACAAAACTGAATAGATCAATACAAAACTGACCAGACCAAGCTCTTTAAAAAATCAGAATGATCTATACAATAAAATATTAGGGTAAAAAATGCACAAGGAATAATTAAGAAGCTGGAACTATAGAAAATATTTTGCCTTGTGCCTAAAACAAAATGGGCACCAGGAGATCCATTATATCAATAAGACTGGAGAACAGCCTTCCCCAACACAGTACCCCACAAAGATGTTGGGATTGCAACTCCTAACTGGTGTAGAATCCTGGAAGTTGCAATTTCAATGCCACTAGAGGGGCCCTGCTTAAGGAAGATCCTTGTGCATTTAAAAAGTCAAAACAGATTTGGTCTCAGAAATGAAATGCTGTAGCCAGTGAAGCTCTTTTAAACTAGACACTGAAGCTTCCCAGACATTTGTTTGAGTCTGCCAGCAGAATACTTTACCCACTAACACATTTCATGCTTGTATGGGTCTCCTCCTTGCTAAACAAGGAAAAGCTGTGTTTACCTTTGAAACCCGCAACACATTGTTGCTAAATAGGAAGTGTACAGCTTTGCTTTTGCAGCCAATGAGAGCAGTCTGTTTTCCATTGTAGAAAATTCTTGCAATGCCTGTCTCACTTGCCCCACAGTCACAGAGAACCAAGTGAATGGCTAAGAAACGGAACAATCTGCAGCGACTGTTTAATTAACTGTATGATGCAATAAGCATATGGATCTGAAAATTAACATATCAAAGACCAAGGTAGGTGTGTTTGACAGGGGAAACGCAAGCTATACATTAAATAGTGAAAAGTTAGAACAGATAGATGAATTTTGTACCTTCGTGGAGTGTTTGTTAAAGATGGGAAAATGGATAGAGTAATTTTAAACATACAAAATCTGGTAATAAAATAGAGGGTAGTATGTAATCTATCACAAGGAATGAGTGTTTGCTTAAAGAAATTAAAGCGTCTATGTATAAGAGCTTGCTTCTGTCCACTTTTGTTATATGAAAATAAATGTTTTGTATGTCAGGAGAAACATAAAAGGAGAAAGGCGTTACTTAAAACTGTGTAAAACAAAAAGAGGTATGGTCAAAAATAAATGTGTGCTGAATGCAAAAGGGAATGACTAGTATAAAATAAATATGTTGAGGTGATTTGGGCACATAGAATGAAGTTTGAATTACAAAACAAATATATGAAGAAAGAGTGAAAGGGCTGAGAGGAAGGGGGAAGGCCAAGAAAAGAATAATTGGATGCAATTGATGAGAACATTTTGCCAGACTCCGAAAAGCAGAATGCTCCTATGAGTGGGATACATTGATCATACTGTTTTCTGAAAACAAGATAGGTATTATAGTTATGAAATTTAATTGTAGTACAAATCAGTTGCAAATAAAATTCCTAACTAAGAATTATCAACTGCTTTGCACACCAGCAAAAACAATCTAAAATAAAGCATACTAACCTTGGAAGGAAATGTGCCTTAAATTTGGTTTGGAACATTCTGGCAAGAATAACTAACAGAAGCATTAGAAGAACACTAGTGGCAGTGAATGCCACAATCTTCCATGTTCGCAGGAGAGTTTCCTGGTTATTTGGCCAGGCTTGTTCTATGAAACAAAGAGCAATGGGAAAAAATACTAGTCACATTAGATAATAATGGCCTTTTATTGTACGAAGGAAGAATCAGAACCCAATACTCCAAGTTAATCCACAGAGCAAATATGACTGCTCACATTTATTTATGTTTTTACAAAATTATTTCCAATCTAAAAATTATCAAGATAACCACATGTGGAAGAAGTTTCATCTACAGGTCATGGTAGGGGGAGCCACACTGTTTGCACACATACAAAAGAGACAGGGCTTGAATTGGGACACCTCCTGTGGATACTGCTGTTTTGAAAGCAAAATAAATGCTACACGTAGTAAGGTATTGTGGAGGCAGTTTCAATTCAAAACACTTTCACTTGAAAATTTAATGGTTAGACATTTAGGCTTATGCTGCGTATTTGGACTGCTTTGTTCATACCTGTTTTGACACAATATACTTGATATGATGGAAACCATTTTCCATATTGGCAGGTGATATATTTGTAATCATTACTGAGAGTGTAGCCAGGATCACAATAGAACTCAACCACAGTTCCATGGTTGTAATGTTCACAAGGCCGCGGATGGCAGATATAATCTCCATGAGTCACCATAGGAGGTGGTGGACAAACTTGGACATACATAAAACATTAAAAAAACAAAAACAAAAACAGAGAGTGAGTTAATTATAGTAATGCCTGGCATCAACAGAAACAACTGAATGTGCCAATATTTCTATATAATGCTACCTCAGTCAATACATAAACATATTCACAATATTTATGCCACAGATACCAATATATTACATGCCAGCAGACCAGTTTCTGCACAATGGGAGGTGCGATGCTATTGATCAAAAAGAATGAAACAATTCCTACTGCTGGAAAGACTGTTGTGCAAACGTTACTGTCAGCTTTTATTAAAAATAACAAAAATAAACTCCACACAAATTATATTCCCAATATTATGCCTCTATTCCATTCTTACAATTTTATAAGAGAAAATAGTTTAAGCATGCTTCATTGTTTAGTCAGTGCAATATATACTAGAATCTACAACTCACAGACAGCATAAAGTTTCAACAGGGGCATAAAGATTTACTAGAAAAAATAATTATTTTTGTTGCAAAAAACATTCCTGCACCTACTAAAACAAGCAACTGCTTAATTTAATTTAATTTAAAAATACTTAATACAAGATATATCAAAATAGTTGACACTTTATTGAATTCCTTTAAAAAAGAAAAAAAATCTTTAACAATCCTTAAATTTCTACTTAGAGAACATGAGGCACTACATAAGGAATGTGATCCACCTAAGTAGAGGCATATCCAAATCTCTCTGAAGACAATGTAGTTGTAGTGCCTGGTGTATTACTCAAATTTAGGAAAATGCAGCTTGATGAATTGTAGCCTAATTCTGTAAGCAAATTGCATGCACAACAGATAGGGGCACA